CTGTAATCTTTCCTTTGACTGTAGTTTTTCAGTGAATTAACATTTTAAATTTAAATTTAAAGAATGTCAAAAGGGACTCTTGTGTGTGTTAGTCACTCAGCTGTGCCCAATTCTTTGTGACCTATGGACTGTATCTTGACAGGCCCTTCTGTCCAAACAATGCTCCTGGCAAGAATACTGGAGTGGGTAGCCATTCCCTTCCCCAGGGGACCTTCCTGACCCAGAGATCAAACCTGGGTCTCCCGCATGGTAGGCAGATTCTCTAACACCTGAACCACCAGAAAAGCCTGACCATGGTGTAAACGGATGCAGACATCCTCAAAAGAATATTAGCAAACCAAACTCAAGTATACATTAAAAGAATCATACACTATGCTGCTGCTGCTGCTAAGTCACTTCAGTCATGTCCGACCCTTAGCGACCCCCATGGACTGCAGCCTACCAGGCTCCTCTGTCCATGGGATTTTTCAGCGGAGAGTACTGGAGTGGGTTGCCATTGCCTTCTCCATCATACACTATAATCAAATGGAATTATTTCTAGGGATGCAAGGATGACATTATCTGTGAATCAATCAATGTGACACAGCATATGAACAAACTAAAGAATAAAAATCATATGATCACCTCAAAAGTTGGAGCAAAAGCTCTTGATCAAGTGTAATATCTATATATCATTCCAACTTTCAATAAAGTGTTTGTACATGGAACATACTAAAGGCAATGTAAGACAAGACCACAGCTAACATCCGACTAAGTGGTAAAAAGTTGAAAGTTTTCCCTAAAAATCAGGAATAATACAAGCATGTTTGCTCTTGCCAATTTTATTCACCATAGTATTGGAAGTCCTCCCCGGAACAATTAGGCAAGAAAAGAAAATAAAGGCATCTGCATTGGAACAGATGTAAAATATCACTTTTCGATTATTACCTGATATTACATGAAACCCTAAAAAACCCACCAGAAAACGACTATTAGAACAAATAAATTCAGCATGATAATGGGAGATGAACCATCAGAGAGAGAAATGAAGAAAACAGTCCCATTTACAAATGCATCAAAAGGAATAAAATACCTTGAAATAAATGTAAACCAGGAGCTGAACGACTTGCACAGAGTCATGGACTCCGAGACAGGAATTCTGGATTGAAATCCCAGCTCATTCGTTAACCTGCTGAGTGAGCCTGGGAAAATGACACAATGATCTGAGGCTCAATCATTTCAACTGCAAAATGGACACAAAACCAGTACCTCCTTCCAGGGTTGTGAAACTAAAAGAAATGCTTATTTAGACCAGGGGGTTGAAGAGTCAGTAGCAGCCTCTCCTTGTGTGAAACTTTTCTGGAACTGGGCTCTCCTCAATCTGTGGGTGAGGGTCCAGTGTGAAGCTGGGAAGCCAGATGGGACTGGATGTGGACCGAGGCAAAAAAAAAACAACAACTAGTTTCTTCGGGGAGCGGGGGAGGGTGGCAGGGAAGCCACCTCCTTTCCAGATCTCAGAGTGGGGCCTGAACCAAGGGCCCAGGGTTGCACAGTCAGAAGTGAACCCTGAGCCCCGCCCCCTCCACAGCAGGGATGGAGCCTTCCTGGCAGGAACCTTCTCTCTGGTCCAGTGTGGTGTGGTGCTGCTCTGAGTTCTCCTTGTCTCCACCAGGCAAAGAGCTCCGGGGAGCTGGAGGTCTATTAAGGCACAGGTGCCTGAGTGTCAGAATGACACAAGGACTAAGATAATTGAAAATGAACTATATTGATAAAAATGACAGAAGTACAGACAAGGCAAGGTGTGGAAAGCACAAGTACTGACTGCCTTTCACGCCTTTACCAGAAATGTATCAGAAATATCCCCACACCAGCTCAAGAGAGCCCAAATGGTAGAAATATAATGGAAAATCAGGCTATGGATCTAATCTCTACACTGCTGGTTCCAGAGACCCACGTTTCAACCCTTCAAACTTCTTGTGGGCAGCCAGACACCAAAGGAAGAAACACAGACCTTGCCTTAGGAAGTTACAGCCAGACTTAACATTGGGGTTGCTCAGCATGGTCAGTGGTCTCACCACAGACTCAGCCCCACCTCTGTGCTCACATTGTCTGTCTTCACAGAAACATACATAGTTCACTACAGAGAACTTTCTGGGGGCACTTGTGTATACTAGGAACTGGCAATGATGACATGGGAGGAGAAGACACAGAAAAGGACACCTGCCTCTGGGGTGCTCCACAAATAACCAAAGATCTGAAGTTCTTAATACTTGGGGTTTTGAAAAATGTTTCTTAATATGTAAATGGAGAATGGAAGCCCACTGGGACTATTTGGTGTCCATTGGGAAAGTAAGTTGAATCCCTGCCTCACAAAACACCACCAAAGCAATTAGAAACATACCAACACTTGAAAGGAAACCCTGACAAAATTTTGAACTATTTTTGATGAGTGAATTTTTTTTTAACTTGAGGTATTGTTGACTTTTAATGATTTTTTAGTTTAAGGTGTACAGCTAAAGGATTCAGTGATTTGGTGTCTCAGGTGCTTCCTTGGACAAACTTCACTCCCTTTGACAGGACCTTGGGCCATGTCCTCTACTCAGAACAGGTGATAATCCTGAAAACACAGAGCAGCACATGATGTTGCTCACTGGTGGTTTCTGACAAAATTAATTATTCTAATATGACACACAAAACAAACCTAGAGACTAGCAGAGGATCTCCAAACATATCTTCAAACAGGAGGCCTTGCTCCCTTGAATGTGGTACGTGAAACAGGGCTTGGAAAGAGAAGAGGTGTGTCATGAATATTTTCTCTGCAGCGGACAAAGCAGTGTGTAGAGAGGAGCAGGCACGTCCCAGGACACTGAGCACATGGACACAGTGACTGGATGCTCAGCCTTGCTCTTGGGGCATTGCACTGTCTCCACCCCTGACACAGGCTAAGCAGCTCCCACATATCCTGGAGATTACAGTCACATGACGTGGACCTGGCCAATTGGTGTGTTCTGTCCTCCCTGGCCACTGTGATTGGCTCAGGACTGGTGCAGTGACCAATCAGGGCCCAGGGCTGGGCCCCAAACTGGAATCGAGGGGAAGAGGATTTCTCCTTCTGCCAGAAGGGGTGGGGCCGGGTGACGTCAGGCTACAGCAGTGGGCGGGGCATGAGGTCAGCATGAGGTCAGCCTGAGGCCGTTGGTGACCTTCCTGCTCCCATCAGGCCAGAGCCACCGACCAGAGGATGAGGGCGCTGCTGAGCCCAGGGGTTGAGAGCGCCCTTTCCTGCTGTGGTCCCGGAGCTCCACCTGAGACCTGAGGGAAGCCGTCTGCCTGTGAGTCCTCTTCTGCTTGTCTGTAGCTTCTTTGAACCCCGCTGGGTTTTCTGTCCAGGGGGCTAAGTGGAGATCCTGGAAATGCAACTGTGTGGGTTTTGGCTGGCTTCAGGGAAGAAATGCCAGATGACACTAAGAGACTGCAGTTATTCTGGATTCAGGCGATATCTCTAAGGGCTAGATATTAATTCTCGGATAACCCAAATTAGTCTTCAGAGGATTAAGATAGCAACGTGCTAAGGGAGCAATAGATGTCCTCTTTCTAGGGCATGAGACTGGCGCTCAGAGAAGGGGGTAACGTGGCTACAGCAAAGAGATGCGTACCAGACAGAACCCCCAGAGCCTGCCGTTTGAACTCAGGGAAGACACTGGTGAGGCTTTTATCTGTAACAGGGGCTAAGGCACTCAGCCCACACTAGTCACTGTGGGGACCTGCCTTGGTAAATGCCATCTGGTAGCTTTGAGACTCACAAAAGCAGTTTGCAGTGAAGAGAGGAAGGGCACCTCCCTTTATCCACCCCACCACACCCTCCAGATTCCCACATACCCTGATCTCTTTCTCTTGGTTTCTGAGGCAGTTACAGAGTCGTGCTCACGCGACCACATTTGCTGTCTACTGTTCATGAGCTGCCATCTGGGGCTGCTACAGGAGAGGCCAAGGGCCTTTGCTCCCGAGTACCTCTCTTCCTTTGGACCTTGGGGGCCCTACTCCCCACTTGCACACCACAGGCCTTTCCAAGTATTGTGGGGACCCTCACTCAGTTTGTATCCCATTGTATCCATTGCTGTCCTTTCAATGCCTCCCTTGAAACTCAGCTTGTGATCTCCTTTGTAGCAGTGTGGCCCACCTGGCTTCTACTGGATGCTCAGAGCTGACAATGAAACAACAGCTCAGGTCTGACAGCTCAGAAGCTCTGTAAAAAGGGACCTCACCCTTCACAGTGCAGAGGGTGTAGTAGCCTCCAGGGTTCTGGAACCAGTTCTTGGGCAAAACTGACTCCACAGGGGTTTTAATGTCTGGGGAGGGTTCTGGAGATTATGACTATATTTCCCAAAAGGTCTTCATTTAGCCCATGATATCTTGAAAGTACCTACACTGTCCTTTCAGATACCCAAAGGCTACTTCAAATGAAATAAAAATTCTCAAATGTAGCCTAACAGTATGTAGGGAATCAGAAAAAAACTACTTCTATCATTTTGCTATAGTCTTTGATTGGGGACACCCAGAATATAGGAAGAAATGAAGAAAGGAAAGGATTAAAGTTTGTTCAGGATCGGGGGAATGGACAAACAGAGATGTGAACAAAGGATTTGTTGGGAGCTGGGGCAGAAAGATTGAAAGGGTCTGAAACTACAGAAGGGTGATGGTTACACAGCACTTTGAAGGTCCTGAGTGTTCCCAAACTGCAACAATTTTGAATAATTTATTTGTTAAAACTTAACCGAAAAAAGCACATAAAGCCATAGAACACATAAAAGAGCACAAAAAAGTTACATAAAATCCAAATGAAAAGACCCTCAAGGGAAGGGAACTCAATCTCCCCTGGGTGGGGAGCGAGTTGATGGCATCCATGGGGAGCAGACAGGGATGGAGGCTGCAGAGCCAACCATGCCCCTGGACGAGGAGTTTCCAGAAAGGGCTCTGGGTCTCTGTCCAGAGCAGGGGCCCGTTCTCCCTGCAGCGGTGGGTCAGTCATCGTGGGCGTCTGGGTCTTGAGCAGGAGCCAGGGCAGGCTCTCCCTGCAGAGGTGGTAACTCATGCCCTGACTCGGGTTCTCTTGCCAAAGCCAGAGCAGGGGCATGTGCACGTGGAGGTGGACGTGCTTGCTGAGGGGGTGGGACATCGCTGCCTGGGGCTGGGGATCCTGCACGTGTAGCAACCACCTCTGTAGGGACAGGTCTTGGAAGTGGAGCCCGGTTGAAGGCGAGCAGCAGAGCTGTGAGAGAGGAAAAGATTACCGAGAGCCTGGCCTTGGCGTGTTCGTATCTGAGGACAGAAAGGTTCCCTGAGATTCCCAAAGAATACCCAGCATAGAGGTCTTCTCTGCAGCCTACAAGATGGTTTCTCCAGGCCCAGCCCCAGCTCTGGGGGACTCCTCCCTGTGTAGCTCAGCACCCCTCCCCACAATCACATTCACAGCCCCAGCCTCCTCACCTCTGTGCTCTGCCGTGCTGCGCTCCAGGTCCTCCCGCTGCCTCAGAGGCAGAGGTTCTGGGGCTCTGGGTCGGAGCCGGGTGTGCTGAGCCCCATGGCAGGCTGAGACTGGACCCCGAGGTGTGTCCCGGGTGGTGTCTGGGCAGCAGGCCTTCCCTGCTTCCTCTTCATTCCCGGTTGGGCTGACCCCTCCGTGGGCACACTCTCCTGGAGCCTGCACTGGGCCTCCCGGGCAGGGGGGTGGTGCTCTGACTCCTCCCATGGGAGGGTGGATGGGGTGTCCCCCCTCATCAGCCATATCTTGTGGGAAGCTCTGAAATGACAGTGACCGTCAGGCCAGCCCTGCTTGGAGTTTACCGAGCTGGGCCTGGCAGTATGGCTGCTGCTTTTGCCTGCGCGAACTTCTGCTTCTGGAATGAGCAGAAATGCGTGTCTGCTCAGATACCCAACCGGGAGGATGGAGACCCCCTCTGAGGGTGTGAGGTGAGCCTGGGCAGCCGGCGGTGCCTGGACTCTCCTCAGTCCGCCCAGCCTGCTCTCCCCTGGGGTGTGGACACCACCGGTCCACAGGCTCTGACCCCACATCCGCCTGGGCTTGCTGGAGGCCAGCACACCCCGAGAAGCCCCCTTCTACACTCACAGGGAAAGGACTCAGGGTGACCCGTGTGGGATGGCAGAGGGGACCTGGCCCGGCCGGGGGCTCCCGTGTTACCTTCCTGTTCCTTCGGACAAAGAAAATTCTGGAGACAGAATTCTTCCCTGAACTTTAGAGACAGTTCCCAGTCCAGGAAGTCACAAGAGGATGTTGTCTCTGACAGCAGTCCATCAAGTGGGTGGGCTGAGGCCAGCCTTTGCTCCAGGCCCAGCCCCAGCCCTGGGGGACTCCTCCCTGTATGGCTCAGCTCCCCTCCCCACACTCACATTCACAGCCCCAGCCTCCTCACCTCTGTGCTCTGCCATGCTGCGCTCCAGGTCCGAGGCAGCAGTTCTCAGGGCTCTGGGTTGGAGCCGGGTGTGCTGAGTCCTGTGGCAGGCTGCGACTGGACCCCGAGGTGTGTCCCAGGTGGTGTCTGGGCAACAGGCCTTCCCAATTCCTCTTCATTCCCAGCTGGGCAGAACCCTCCGTGGGCATGCTCACCTGGATCCTGAACTGGGCCTCCCGGGCAGGGGGGTGGTGCTCTGACTCCTCCCATGGGAGGGTGGATGGGGTGTCCCCCTCATCAGCCATATCTTGTGGGAAGCTCTGAAATGACAGTGACCGTCAGCCAGCCCTGCTTGGAGTTTACCGAGCTGGGCCTGGCACTATGGTTGCTGCTTCGAACTTCTGCTTCTGGAATGAGCAGAAATGCGTGTCTGCTCAGATACCCAACCGGGAGGATGGAGGACCCCCCTCCCCCCGCCCCGAGGGCGTGAGGTCAGCCTAGGCAGCCGGCGGTGCCTGGACTCTCCTCAGTCCACCCAGCCTGCTCTCCCCTGGGGTGTGGACAACACCGGCCCGCAGGCTCTGACCCCACATCCGCCTGGGCTTGCTGGAGGCCAGCACACCCCAAGAAACCCCCTTCTACACTCACAGGGAAAGGACTCAGGGTGACCCGGTGGGATGGCAGGGGGACCTGGCCCGGCCGGGGGCTCCCGTGTTACCTTCCTGTTCCTTCGGGCAAAGGGCCAGAGGCCTCCTCGGGGGGGCCTGAGCCAGCATCGACAGCGATCCCACACACTTCCTGTGAGCTCTCCTGAGGCTCCAGCCTCTGGGCAGGGACAAACAGCAGAACATCTTGGCACCAAGTGATATGGCTTTGGGTTCCTCTCCACTGTGGAGACCTGGATACCTGGGTTCTGGGTTCTGTTGGTTTCTATTTCCGGGAAGTGACATTTTTTTGTGGTTCGTTGCTGAGGTCCCTTACACAAAGCTCCCCAAGGGAACCTCGGTGTTTCTGACTGTTCACCCACACCCTTAGGCCACGTGCGGGCACAGTGACACCCACACCGCCCATCCCTCGGCCTTGGGGAGGCCTGGGTGCCTCCAGTGGCAGAGCTCTGAGGACACAGCTGCTATCAGACCAGGCTCCTCTTTCTCATAAGTGACGTGGCCTTGGACAAGTATGTGCCCCTCAGGGCTTCTCCCGTCTCTCCATCTGCAGAGCGGGGGTCATTCTCCCATCTCCTGCCCAGGTCTGTTGGCCTAGGAGCAGCTCCAGTGCCTGTTCAACCCGTGGGCTGGTGTCACATGGAGCTCATGCACTGACTCTTCACAGAGGAAGGATTCAATACAGGGCTCACCTAGCACAGAATGAGGCAGAAGCAGGCCTTGATGGGCTTTGGGACCTAGGAAAAGGCAGTCCTCTCACCTGCCTAACTATTTCAAGTTCCCCCCAGCCCCCCACCAGTGGGAGGTCTGAAGGTAAGATTCAGACATTGCCCCCTCTAATCTACAACAACCTTCATCGGTCCTCCTGTTCCATTGAGATTCTGGCTTAAGTTTCCCATCTCAGCCTCTAGGGGAGGGCGAGGCTGCCCCTCCAATGGCTCCCAGCATTCTCTCTTTTACTCTTGTCACCTTTTACTCTTGTCATTTCCCCCCTTGCAGAGTGAATGGGCCCTGTCACTGGTTGAAACCTCAAGATTGATTCATGCAAATTCTGTGAAATCTTCTCATTTCCTCTTTCTTAACCTTTCTAAGTTCAGTCTATCAAGTTTTCCCTCCCTGACTGTCTCTCCTGTGGATGCATGCCTATGAATATATATTGCATGTCTATTGTTAGCCTAGCATTAGGTTTTAGGGTTTAGCTTTCAGTGAGAGAAAGGATTGGGATTGGAGTTGCTGTGAGGGGAAGGGATAGGGGTGGTGCTATTGTTTCTGGTTCACTGAGTGGTGTGAGTTCTTAGTCTGTTTTTCATATGAACCCCTCATCAGAGACACCACTTGCAAATAGTCTCTCGTGTTCAGTTTTCCAAGTTTTTGATTTGTGAATGCTTAGCTTTTCCGTTGCAAAGCTCTTCAGTTGGATGGAAGCCCCTGGTGTTCTTTGGTTTCCTGTTTCCCTTACTCGAAGAGACCCATTTTTGCTTCCCGCACCAAATGTTAAGGAGCTCTGATGTGGTGGAGCCTTCGGCACATGCTTATTTCGAGGAGTTTCAAACTTCCCTTGTGGCTTATCCTGTAAAGCATCCACCTGCAATGTGGGACACCTGGGTTCGATTCCTGGGTTGGGAAGATCCCCTGGAGAAGGGAAAGGCTACCCACTCCAGTATTCTGGCCTGGAGATTCCAATGGCCTGTATAGTCCATGGGGTTGCAGAGAGTCGGAGACACTGAGTGACTTTCACTTTCACTCATAACTTCAGGCTTGGGGTTGATGTGTTTCACCGATTTTGAGGTGCTATGAGAACAAAAGCCAACGTGATTCTTCAGATGTAGCCATCCAGCTTTGCCATGGCCCTTTCTTGAACAGTCTTTTGTATTCCTATTTGCATATTCTCCTCTCCTTTGTAGTAGATGAATTGACCATAGAAGCTAGGGTTTATCTCTTGGACTCTCAGCTCTATTGTATGATTCTGGATCTGCATGTATGTGTGACCGACACCATACTGTCCAGATGATCCTAGTGTTGCAGTCTAGTTGGCTATCAGGCAGTCTGGTAGGCCCGTATCAGGCCTTCTTTCCTTAGACTGTACAGACGATTTAGGTTCCTTTGTGTTTCCATACCCATTTTGGAATTCCTTGGTTTAGTGCCCCGAAAATATCCCTTGGCCTTTTGAGAGGAATAACATGGACCGGACCCTCTGGATTGCCTTCGGGGGTGTGACATCATTTTACCAATAGGAATCCTTGCAATGCATGAGCTCAGCTTATTTTCCTCGGATCGTGTGGACTTCACCTTCTTTCATCCATCTCTTGCAGTTTTCTGAGAACAGGTCCTTCCCTCCTGGGTTAGATGGACTCCTGGGTATTTCCTCTTGGTGTATCTCATTGTCAGTGGGGTTGATATTTGCCTTGTCATTCTAAGAGTTTGCTATGAGCGTTGGAAATGCAAACGATTTTCCTCCCTTCCATCTCTCTGAGCCACCAGGTAGCACAGGCCTAGTCGGGGTCACGCGGGGCTCAGGGAGTGCAGCTAGACTGTGTTTCTCAGGCCCTCAGTGCTGGGCATCATTCGGTGTGCTCTCCATGTGCCTTCCTCGGCCTGGTGTCCCTTCAGACCTTTCCCTAGTTTTAGTAGCCTTGTTTGTGTTCTTTGTCTCTTTGGAGACAAATCCTTTATCAGCTGTGTGTTTGCAAGTATTTGTGTGCCAGTGAGTGGTGTGTCCTTTGCTTTTTTTCATAAGGTCTTTACCAGAGCAGAAACCTTTGATTTTACACAATCCACAGTATTGCCTTTTTGTGCATTGCCTTTCTGTATTGTGTGTGAAGACTCAAAGGTCATGTCTAGCCTCTGCTTGATTTTCTTCTGGATTTGTGAGACGTTTGGCATGGAAAATATGTCTCAGAAAAATTTGAAGTGAATTTGGTGTAAGGTGTCAAGTTTCCATCCACATTCACGTCATCCCCTCTGGTTTTCAATTCATCACTCCTGAACTCTTTTGGAGAACTTGTGGGAAGTTTGGTTGCATTTCAGTTTGAATTTCTGCCCTTTAGTAGATTCACCCAGTTCTGCCAACAGGGACACTGTGAAGGGTGAGTGAGGGGCAGCCTGCACTCCCGGCAGTGACCACAGGGTGGGAAGAATGCTGCTCTCCCTTCGGGAGCCACAGGCCACAGGCATCCCAGTGAGGAGCAGGCTGTGTGTGCAGCTAAAAGGAGTTAGTCTCTCAGGCGCCTGTGCGACGTTGCCTTTGGGTCACCCAGGGTGGGCGTTTACAGTGACAGGAACCATTGCACCGCAAGTGAAGTGAGAGCCGGTCTGAAATCCGCCACTGCTCCTAAAGAGATGCACCTGAGGCCCCTTGAGGGTCCTGCACAGAGCGCTCTTTGGTGGACATGCTGGGGACACTGCTGCCTCGTGGGCTGCCCAGGGCAGGCTGTCACCAGTCCAGACACGGACCACGGCGATGACCGTCACTGCTGTCTCCAAACGGTTTTCACTGGTGCGTGTCCTCATCTGAGCGGTCAGGCCATGTGCACTGCCTCCCCTTGCAACTTCTAGGCTAGGTCTCCTAGGCTAGAGCTCTCAGGTCTAACTTGTAGGTCTAGGCTACACTGGCCATGTGCATTGCCTCTCCTTGCAACTTCACCGCTTTCTTCCCTTCTTTACTGCACATTGATTTTCAAGAGTGTTTGGGCCACAAGGATGTTGGGTCTTTCTCTAGCCTTGTCTCATGAGGTTGAGACGGCGCTTCCCAGTTGTTGGCGTGCTCATTTTGCCCGCTTTCTTTCCTGGCTTCTCTTTGTGACTGTGCCTGAGGAAGAGCTCAGCATTTCCCTTCTGGCTGAGACGTCACGCAACAGTAATGCCTGCCTGGAGATTATTTGCCAAAAGGGTCTCATTTTGCAGATGACATCTTGAAATCACCTGCACTGCCCTTTCCGATACACAAAGGCTGCCTGAAAGGAAACAAAAAACGAGAATTCCCAAGTCTACTCTTAAAATACGTGCAGAGTCTAATAAAACCACCTTTTCTATGATTTTGTTCATCAGCATTGACGGGAGACATCCAGGATATGGGAAGACACTCAGATATAAGAGGATTAAAGGTTGTCAGGGGCAAGGGAGGAACAGGGAGTGCTTGAGGTGAATACAGGATTTGCTGGGGGCGGGGGTTGGGGTTCGGGAACTGAAAGGGTCCCAAGCTAGAGAGTGGTGCCGGCTGCACAGCATTGTGAAGGTCCTTAATGCTCCAGAAATGTACCACTGAACGCCAGTTTTACTGATTGACAATTAAAGGGGAAAAATACACAAATCTGTGAAGAACAGAATATAAATCAAGAAAATACAGAGAAAACGAATGAAAAGCTCAGGAAAGGGAACTGAGTCTCCACTGGCTGGAGAGAGAGTTGATGGCGTCCACGGGGAGCAGACAGGGATGGAGGCTGCAGAACCAACCCCTCCGCTGGACACGGTGTTTCCAGAAATGGAAATGGAAAGGGCTCTGGGTCTCTGTCCAGAGCAGGGGCCTGTTCCCCCTGCAGGGGTGGGTCAGTCATCGTGGGTGTCTGGGTTTTGGGCGGGAGCCAGGGCAGGCTCTCCCTGCAGAGGAGGTGACTCATGCCCTGACTCAGGTTCTCCTGCCAAAGCCGGAGCAGTGGCAGGCGTAACTGCACATGTAGGTGGACCAGCAGCTTCTCCCTGGGGGATTGGAGCATTGGTGCCTGGGGCTGAGGTCTTGCAGGCACAGATATCTGATCTTCCCCGTGTGCTGGCCAATACCCAGCTGGCCCAGTGTCTTTGGGAAGGCATGTCTCAGGTCTCAATCTCCCCTCAGTGGATCCCTGGGTCCTGCACGTGTGGCAACCAGCTCTGTATGAACAGGTCTTCGAAGCGGAGCCTGGTTGAACTTGGGGGCAGGTACTAGAGCTGTGAGAGAAGAAAAGATTACCCATGGCCAGCCTTGCCCTGTGCCTCTCTGGAGACAGAATTCTTCCCTCAACTTTCAAGACAGTTGAAGTCACAATAGGATGTCGTCTGTGACGCAGTCCACCAAGTGTGTGGTCTGAGGCCAGCCTTTGCTCCAGGCCCAGCCCCAGCTCTGGAGGACTCCCCCCTGTATGGCTCAGCTCCCCTCCCCACACGCACATTCCCAGCCCCAGCCTCCTCACCTCTGTGCTCTGCTGCGCTGGGCTCCAAGTCCGAGGCAGCAGTTCTCACAGCTCTGGGTTGGAGCCGGGTGTGCTGAGCCCCGTGGCAGGCTGAGACTGGGCCCCGAGGTGTGTCCCGGGTGGTGTCTGGGCAGCAGGCCTCCTCCGCTTCCTCTTCATTCCCAGTTGGGCAGAACCCTCCGTGGGCACGCTCACCTGGAGCCTGCACTGGGCCTCACGGGCAGGGGGTGGTGCTCCGACCCTTCTCTCGGGGAGGTGCTACTTCAGAAGAAATAAAAACAAGAATTCTCAAGTTTGGTCTTACAATATATGGGGAGTCAGAAAAATTCCCTGGAGAAGGGAAAAGCTACCCACTCCAGTATTGTGGCCTAGAGAATTCCATGGACTGTAAAATCCATGGGGTTGCAGAATCTAACAAGACTGAGCGACTACAACTTTCACATTCAGTCAGAAGAAAATCCAGTTTTCTATCATTTCAGTGATTGGCATTGATTGGAGACACCCAAAGGATGGGAAGAAGTGGAGAAAGAAGACGACTAAGTGTTGTCAGGGGCCAGGGTGAGGGAGGGAGGAACGGAGAGTGCTTGACCTGAATCCAGGCTTTGCTGGGAAGTAGGGGGGATAGAATGAGAGGGTCTGAATGTAGACAGTGGTGATGGTTACACAGCATTGTGAAAGCCTTATTATTCCCTAATTGCGTCAATTAAGGTACAATTTATTAACAAAAACTTAACAGAAAAAAATACATAAAGCTACCAAAAAAAATCACAAGAAAGCCAAACACAAACCAGATGACCAGAATCTCAGGTGAAGTGAACTGAATCTCCCCTGGGTGGGGAGCGAGGTGATGGCATCCACGGGGGGCAGACAGGGATCGCCGCTGCAGAGCCCACGGCTCCCCTGGACCTGGTGTTTCCGGAACGGGCTCTGGGTCTCTGTCCAGAACAGGGGCCCGTTCTCCCTGCAGCGGTGGGTCAGTCATCGTGGGCGTCTGGGTCTTGGGCAGGAGCCAGGGCAGGCTCTCCCTGCAGAGGTGGTAACTCATGCCGACTCGGGTTCTCCTGCCAAAGCCCGAGCAGGGGCAGGGGCAGGTGCAAGTGGAGGTGGGCAGTCGGTGCCTGGGGCTGGGGGTCCTGTAGGCACAGAGGTCCAATCTAACCAGTGTGGTGGCCAGTAACCAGCTGACCTGGTGTCTTTGGGGAAAGGCTCAGGTCTCGATCTCCTGTGAGTGGATCCCTGGGTCCTGCACATGTGTGTAGCAACCACCTCTGTGGGGACACATCTTGGAAGTGGAGCCTGGTTGTATTTGAAGGTCAGAACTAGAGCTGGGGGAGAAGAAAAGTTTGCCCACAGGCCAGCCTTGCCATGTGCCTAACTGGGCACTAAAGCTTCCCTGAGATTCCCAAAGACTACCCAGCATAGGAGACTTCTGTGCAGTCTACAAGATGGGTGGTCTGAGGCCGGCCTTTGCTCCAGGCCCAGCCCCAGCTCTGGGGGACTCCTCCCTGTGTAGCTCAGCACCCCTCCCCACAATCACATTCACAGCCCCAACCTCCTCACCTCTGTGCTCTGCCGTGCTGGGCTCCAGGTCCTCCTGCTGCCTCAGAGGCATCAGTTCTCAGGGCTCTGGGTGGGAGCTGGGTGTGCTGAGCCCCATGGCAGGCTGAGACTGGGCCCTGGGGTGTGTCCTGGGTGGTGTCTGGGCAGCAGGCCTTCCCCACTTCCCCTTCATTCCCACTTGGGCTGACCCCTCCGTGGGCATGCTCACCTGGACCCTGCACTGGGCCTCACGGGCAGGCGGGTGGGGCTCTGACCCTTCCACTGGGGAGGTGGATGGGGTGTCCCCCTCATCGGCCACATCCGGTGCGAAGCTCTGCAATGACAGTGACTGTCAGCCAGGCCTGCTTGGAGTTTTCTGAGCTGGGCCTGGCCAGTATGGCTGCTGCTTCTGCCCGCTCAACCTTCTGCTCCCAGAACGAGCAGAGACGAGTGTCTGGTCAGATAACACCCAGGAGGAAGAAGACCCCCCTGGGGGCGTGAGGCCAGCCTGGGCAGCCGGCGGTGCCTGGACTCTCCCCATCCCACCCAGCCTGCTCTCCCCTGGGGTACGGACACACCGACCCACAGGCTTCTGACCCCACATCCGCCTGGGCTTGCTGGAAGCCGACAGACCCCGAGAAACCCCCGTCTACACTCACAGGGAAAGGACTCAGGGTGATCCGGGTGGGAGGGAGAGGGGACCTGGCCCAGCCTGGGCCTCCCGTGTTACCTTTCTGTTCCTTCGGCCAAAGCCCCCCTCCTCGGGGGGCTCTGAGCCAGCCTCGACAGCGATCCCACACACTCTGCCTGTGAGCTCTGCTGAGGGCCCGGCCTCTGGGCAGGGGCAAACAGCAGGACATCGTGGCAACAAGTGATCTGGCCAGTGGCTCCTCTCCGATGTGGAGACCTGGAGACCTGGATACTAGCTGAACAGTATTGTTTCACAATGATCTATAGTCCTATCTGACTGAGTTGTTCTAAACCTTTTTGATATGTGTTGACAAAGCTTCTTAAGTCATTCTAATGAAGAAGATTTCTAGCCTAACTTTGGGATACTTCAGAGGGCCCCTGAAACATCCCAGAGAGAGGTATTACACTAATTAGGTTCATTTTGTATACAGAATTACATGGGAAGTATTGTCAAGTGAGTAATAAGTCTCCAGGTTATATTGTATGTATCTTCCTGACTCAGGGATCGAACCAGGGTCTCCCGAATTGTAGGCAGCCGCTTTACGGTCTGAGCTACCAGGGAAGCCCACTGTATGGTAATATGTTAGTAATATAGATACCCTAGAAACTGTGTGGAGTTCCTAAAATTTTTATGTGTTTGGGTAAAATGTTTTCAGGCATGATTCAGTTACTATCTCAAAATATTGTCATACACTAACCAAATTTCACAAAAATGCTTCCTCTTCAAGATTTATAAAAAGGACTTTTGGATAAATACCAGTTTCTGAACTGGGGAAAGATTCTAATGAAAAATCGGAGTTCACAAAGGTTAACAAAAGGACTGAATGAACTGGTGAATATGCTTATCACTTTTATGGTTTTTAGTTTTCCAGGTTTAAGAAAAACCTTCCCCTCAAACTAATTATGATGGTAATTTGGTAAAATTATATTTTATAAACAAATTGAAACATTTATCTTTTCTCTCTGTCTGAACTTCCAGAGATTGGAAACTCTTAGTTTCCAGTAATTTTATCAGATAAGTTAGGAAGGTTATTTCACTAACAGGTACACAAATCTGAAGGAACTTGCCGGAATCTGAGCCCTTGAGAAGGGAGGAATTCACTTAGATCTGTTAGGGAAAATCTGTGATAAACATTTGGCATGACTCCTAGCCCTGCAAGGTTTTATTTTAGAAGTTCAGTCTGAGACTTTTATAGTCTCAGCAAAGCAAAAAAGTCTATGATCAATTATGGTTGTATAAATCATCAGGCAAAGTTTATTGCGACCAGACCTATATTACAAACAAGTCTTAATTTGGTTATATTTGGTAAAAATGGTGGTGATTTTAGGGAGAAAAAGATGTTTCAATGAATGTTAAATCCAAATTTGTTAATGGAGGTCTGTATCTACTAAGACTCATTTCCTGGATAGTTCTTTGTTGTTAGGATATATTAATGTAAAATTATTTGCATTATTAAAGGACACTCTAGGGTTGTTTCTGAAGCTTATTTTAGTAATCTGTCTTTGGATGAAGATCAGATGCCTCACACATGACCTGCAATCAAGACTGAAAGAAGACATAATTTAAGGAACTTTCCAACCTGGATGGATGGACCTTTCTATCAGGTACTCTTACCTAGCTCATGCCCAGTGAAATTGAAGGGGAAATGACTCTTGGGTTAACTCCCACTTCCAAAGGCCCCTAAGCTGGACTGGTCTAAGAGAGAGGCCTGCTGACCTCAAACTCACCTTAAAACAATGCTCAAACGGAGGAAACTACACTACACTAGGACGAGAAGAAGCTGACATCAGAAGTAGACAGCTTGCCCAAGATGCTGATCTGACTTTTATGACCATTTGTAGTGTTCTCTTGATTCCTTGGACCTATGCCTATCAATCTTTTCTATCGTGGACACAATTCTCTGCTAGTTTAAAACTCAATCCAATTGTTTGATTGTGGCCAATTACCTATGTCTGGTACTTCTGGGTTTCCTTGGTGGATTTCTGTTCTCTAGGGATACCCACTAGGAAATTTATTTTAGATGAGAGTTCAGTCCTGTTCTATCTTCATGATATTACAAATGGAATTCTCTCACCTGGCCAATGAATAATATCTGCTCTGGGGATGCCAGCAATAGATATAAGTTTCCTCTTAGGATCATTTTAACTCAGTCGGAGTGATGAGCCAAGTCTCAATTTAAAAAATTAACCTATCAATGAAAAGGAAAATTCCCACAATTACGGGGTGGATCTACATGGTTAACACCAGGCTATGTTCATTTAAGTTTAAAAGCTCCTCTATGTTGGGAAGGGTTCAGTTCAGTTCAGTTCAGTCACTCAGTCGTGTCCGACTCTTTGCAAGCCCATGAATCGCAGCACATTAGGCCTCCCTGTCCATCACCAACTCCCGGAGTTTACTCAAACTCATGTCCATCGAGTCAGTGATGCCATCCTGCCATCTCATCTTATGTTGTGCCCTTCTTCTCCTGCCCCCAATCCCTCCCAGCATCAGGGTCTTTTCCAATGAGTCAACTCTTCACATGAGGTGGCCAAAGTACTGGAGTTTCAGCTTCAGCATCAGTCCTTCCAGTGAACACCCAGGACTGATCTCCTTTAGGATGGACTGGTTGGAGCTCCGTGCAGTCAAATCATACTAAAAATGATCAACTTGGTAATTATGAGACAAGGCTGGGCGCTTTATGAACTGTGTCTCTTACTACCCTTAGAGAGAGTGATTGGTATGGAACTCAGTGGATTTGTGGCACTAATTTATGGCCTTCACATCTACAGAGATGGATACAAAGGTGTAGCCTGGGATTACCATGAATTTTAGGTCATACATGTTAACGAAATAGAGGTAACCCTAACCAATCTACTATTGGTATGATCCCAGTGGGTCAAAGATCTGTATTGTACTGGTATGACCATTTAGCAGCTTGTGTGTATGTGTGTGTGTGTGTGTGTGTGTGTGTGTGTGTGTGTGTGTGCCTTCAATGGGGCTGGAGGATATCATTGACCATATCTAAGCCTTAACATCTTCCATAAGCTTTAAGTGAGAGTAACCGGCCTATTAGCCTATTGAATTCTGAGATCTCTATGATGAGAGAGGCAATGCTACAGTACAACTGCAAGGCCCTTGACACCTTAAAGCATCTCAGGGAGATATCTGTGCTGTAATGCAAACTGAATGCTATATTTTCATACCTGGTAAATCCTTTAATGTAACACATTTGAACCACGTGAAAAATCAGATTTCTGCTTTAAGTGACCCATTCCCTAATCTTCACGATCTTTTAAGAAAACTGGTGTGGGAGGCTTATGGCTGAAGTATTTACTTTTAATTCCATTAGTGTTATTAACTATACCATTTGTAATTTGCTTGTTTCACAAGATTATCATTTCATGTATTACCAAGTGTATGAACCTCCAATGAAAATGATGACTAGACTTGAAGCAGTTGATCAAATGTATAGCTCGATATATGATCAATGATTGTAATAGTGTAACTCTAGGTTTGAAAAGATGCAATGAGAGGGAATACTTTCCTGGACCATAGCTAGAAGACAGGTGTCCAGAGATCTTTGACTATTAAGACCTAGTCCAGTAATAGCACACTGAGTGTCTTATCAACAAAAACCTTCTTCATAACTGGGAACGAGCCTTCCCAGCAACGTAGAACAAAATGGTCATGAGATGCCCGCCAAAGTATGGTCGGATTTATGACCACTAGGGGGCCATGTCAACTACAAGTTGGCATGTACCAAGAGCATTGCCAATGACTGAACAACAAAGGCGTCTACAGAGATTGAACCCCATGCTGCTATAGCTGGTGACCTTCAACAACCCCTGAGAGAGTTCAGGCTGGAGTGAGGCACTCTCTGCTCCAGGGAATCTGGTGGGACAGGTCTTTAGATAGTTGGATGTTTTTAGGGACAGATTTTATGATCTCAATCCTTGCATCTCCTCATATCTAGAGAAACACTAAAGCCCTTCCTGGTGATATCAGACCCTCATGACAAACAAAAAGCCTTTTGTAAAATGAGTGCTCCATGGTATTGAACTCTCCCTTCCCCGAAACCTTATATATTGTCCTTCCCCCACTGCTGCTTGACAGCAGTTTCTCAGAGCTATCTGAGATGCTGCCTCCTCGGCTGCAGTCCTCATTTTACCCCAAATAAAACTTTTAACTCACAACTCTCAAGTTGTACATCTTTTTTTAGTCGACACGTGCCACTGTAAAAGTTACCCTGGGCTCCACAGAGGTGATGAGGGTCGGGGCCTGGGGTCCTGGGCACCTTTAGTCTACAGTGGCGAGTCCGAGGAGGCTGGGCAGAGCTGGGTCAGAGGACTCCTGCTCAGGACCAGGAGGGGATGTCCGGATCCCTAGAGGGACCCAATGTCCCTTTATGCCACAGCTGGGACATGGACCTGGAGGGGGCCTTGGCTTTAGGCATGAGCCGGCCTTCTTTGCTGCCTTTGAAGCAGGGCCCAGGTCACTTCCTTTCTTTGTTGGTTGATAGAGGCTTGGAGCCATGTAGGGCAGTGGCTAAAAGGTGGCATTTGGCCTGATCTCGTTGGGCCTTCTCTAGCTTTGCCTGTCCTTCCTGGTTGTTGAAAATCTTAAAGGCTAAATTTAAAAGGTCTCATTGAGGGGTCTGAGGGTCTTCTGCCTTTTTTAGTTTCTTTCTGATATCTAGGGATGACTGGCAGATAAAATGGGTGTTAAGGACAATGGTGCCCTCTGCTGAAGTGGGGTTTAATTTTGTATATTTTTGTAGCACTTCTGTTAACCTGGCTAGAAATTGTGCTGGGTTTTCAACTAGCCCTTGAGTTATTTCCAAGAGCTTATCAAAGTTGACAGCTTTATGCCCTGCCTTTTGAAGGCCCACAATGAAGCAAGCAACCGCGTGATTACGGGCTGCTCGTCCAGGTCTCCCTGCCTGGTAATCCCAGTTGGGATCTTCTCGGGGGACAGCTGTTGCCCGTACGTGCTTAGGGTCGTCTGTCCTGTATATCTCATCAGCATGAGCCTGAGAGGCTTGGCATACTCTTTCCTTCTCTTCTGGGAGAAGAGTGGGGGAAAGGATGGTGTAAATATCATGCCAGGTTAAGCTGTAAGACTGGGTACGATGCTTGAATTCTTTTAGATAATTATCAGGGTCCGAGGAGAAGGAGCCAAGACGCTTCTCAATCTGAGAGAGACCAGAGAGGGAGAATGGGACACGAACCCGAACAATGCCTTCTGCACCAGCTACTTCCCCTAGAGGGAGTGGAGCAGAGAAAGGAGCTGGGTCCTGCAGTGAAGTTTCCTGCTTTAAAGGTGCAGGAAGGGACAGGGTACAGGGAGGGGATCTAGGGAGGTCGGGGTAAAGCCTTGGGACCCTTGGGTAGAGGGTGGGGCTGAGGTCTCAGAGCTTTTCTCAGGCACAGGCTGGGAAGGGGTTGGGAGCTGCAGTGGCCTGCGCCTGAGAAGGAGGGAGGGAGGTGGGGGCGTAAGGTGGAGGTCGTGGAACTGGATCTGGGGCTGCTACAACAGGATTGGGAGTGATAGTGGGTGGGCTGTGGTCAAAGAGTAGAAGGAAGAAGAAGAAAAGTCTGAACAGGAATCGGGAGACATTATATTAGGAGGATGTGGCCCAGAGTGGATTCACAGAGAGAGGATCGAGAGTGAAGAGCAAAGAAAGCCTGAACATAAGGGATTTCTAACCACTTGCCATTGCAGTGGCAGAAGTTATCGAGGTCTGGTATAGTATCATAATCAAGAGTTCCATTTTCTTGCCATTGGGACCTGTTATCAAGTCTGTATTGCAGCCAGACAGTGTTAGAATAGTAAATAAGTCTTTTTGGTCTTATCTCCCCTTGGAAGCCCAAGGCTTTTAGGTTACGGAGAAGGCATCCTAGAGGAGTAGGTTTTGAGGGCTGGGATTGAGAATTTCCCATCGCGGCTGAGTACGGAGTTTAGACAAGGGCGAGAGAAAGTGAGGAGAACGGTCCGAGGGAAAAGGTGTCCCCATTCTGAGGACTTGCTCAAAGAGTAATAACAGTCTGCTTTGAAAAGGGCGTCCCCTATTTCAAAGTCAGACGGGGGTGCAAGGCCAAGGACCCAAGGGTCGTGGGAACCTCCCACCCAGTAGGAGAGAGAGGGGATCAGAGAGAATGGGGTGTATCACCCTTGTAACCGATGGATGAAAAGTGGGCAGGTCTGTGGATGTCAGTCCAGCAAGGCAAGTGAAGAGTCCCATCCCAGAGATGGTCTCGGTTTCTCAGAAAGGTCCAAGGGAGGGGACCACTAGAGGTGGGCTCTTGAGAGGAGCCCACCCAGTTGCCATGGATTTTCCTTCCCAGGTTTTGGCACCAGAATGTAAGGTGAGTGCAGAGAAAAAGAGCAAGCTGGGCAGTCAGGCAAGAAAAGGAAATTTATTAGAGGGAAAAGAGAGGGTGACTGGCTCTTAAGGAGAACCAGCATTCCCCCTTTCTAACAGAATCCTTCTTATGCCCCCACCAATGGAAAATGCTCTGATGGGATTATCACGTAGCCAGAGGTCTGGAATCTGGTGGTCTCCCAGCTTTAAGAAGACAGGCAGCAGTGAGACAATAGGATGCCATTTGGGCAATTTGATCAATCTCACAGATCACTGTGATTTATTCTTTGCGAGGTCAACAGAGCCATCTTATCAATGAGATTCCATGTGGGCCCTGTCGCATAATAGGCTTGTTCCAAAGTACTGATGCTGAATGTCAGCTCAGAGGAAGCAGCTTGAAAAGTGCATGGGTCATATGGGAAGGAGAATTATGGACTAACTTTAGGACAAGTGCCAAAGGGGCAAGGATTTGTTGCAACTTCCTCTAGGGATGAAATCACACATTGATGACATTTAAAAAAACCCTCCCTGTAGCCAGCTGGTCCAGTGCTGGCGGGAGACATTTCTGACATTGCCCACTTACCTTCCTAGCACTGCTTGCCCTGCTATGTCTCTGAGTTCCCTGTAGAACACACATATCCATCCCAGTCATGCCCACAACGCTCCTCTAAAATGGCTTCCCCCCCAAGAGCCTGGATTCCTCCACAAGAGCCTCCTTCCCTTCCACGCACAGTGGGTGGACTCAGCCATGACTTGCATCCCCTCAAGGTGCTCCTACTCCAGGTCAGCTCCAGCCAGAATCACATCTGCAACTGCTGAGGTGGGGCTCACGTTCAGCTCCACTGGTGGCCAACCAGACCCACCACCATGCCCAAAGCAATGATGGTACATCCACCAGGACACCATACTCAGCCTACACAGCCTACCCTGGATTTCCTGTCTCTGCTGACCTGGAGTGGGTAACTGTTCTTCTGAGCCACACAGGGGACACTCCACATAGGTCCACTCATTCAGCATGGAGACATAGTTCATCTACCTAATATTAATGCACAGAAACAAAAAAGATCAGCAAAATGAGGAGACAAAGAATATATTCCAAATGAACAGCTAAGACATGACCTCAGAAAAAGAATTAAACACGATGGAGATAAATAATCTACTGGTTCATTGGTTAAGATGTTCCTGATAATGTAGGGTACAAGGGTTCAACTCGTGGTCTGGGAACTAAGATCCCAGGCTGTGGGGCAACTAAACCTGCATGTCACAGCTATTGAACTCAGGTACCCTAGAGCCTGTGCTCCTAGGAGAGAACAGAAGATAGAACACTGGGAAGCCCAAACACCAAAACTAGAGTGCAGCCCCTACTCTAGGCAACAAGAGAAAGTCAGTGGCACAACAAGACCCAGTGGACCCATGAAATAAGTAAATAAAAGATATTTACTCATCTCAGGGAAGAATGGAGAACAGAGTGAGAACCTCCACAAAGAGGTAATAAGTATAAAATAGAGCTGATTATAATTGAAGAATACAAAAACTGACTTGAAAAATACAGCAGACGACTCAACAGATTATAGGATTCAGAAGGACAGATCAGTAAGCTGAAATACAGAGTAGTGGAAATCACCAAATTTGAGCACCAAAAGAAAAAAAAAAGCCATAAAGTTGAGGATAATTTTATGCATCTGGTGAATAATATCAAGCATAATAACATTTGCATTATAAGGACTCAAGGAAAAGAGAGAGAAAGATAAAAATTCACTTGAAGAAAGAATGACTGAAAATTTCCCTATCTTGGTGAAGGAAAGACACACAGGTCCAAGAAACACAGAGAGACCAATACAGGGTAAGCCAAAGGAGAAACATGCCAAGACACATATCAATCACCTAAGAAAAATTAAACAAATAGAGAAAATATTAAAAGCATGAAGGGAAAAGCAACAAATAACAAGGGAACCCCCATAAGTTTAACAACTGATCTTTCAGAAGAAATGCTGCACGACAGAAGGGTATGGCATGATATACTTAAAGTTATGAAAGGGAAAAACTTACCAGCAAGATTACTCTAGCCAGCTAAGTTCTCACTCAGGTTCAAAAAAGAACTCAGTAGTTTTACAAATAAGCAAAAGTTAAGAAATTCAGCACCAGCAAAGTAGCTTTACAACAAATGTTAAAGGACGTCCTTCAGGCAGGAACTAGAAGGGAATGAATAGACCTGGAAAAAAAAAAAAACACCCAGGAAAATAAAGTAAATAATAATAAGTTCATGCATATCAATAATTACCTTAAATGTAAATTGACGAAATGCTCCAACCGAAACACAGACAGGCTGAATGGAAACAAAAACAAGATCCATATAAATGTTGATAATACATCCACTTCAGATCTAGGGACACATACAGACTACAAGTGAGGACCTGGGAAAAGATATTCCATGCAAATGGAAATCACAAGCTGGAGTAGCAATTCTCATATCAGAGAAAATAGACTTTTAAGTAAAGACTATTACAAGAGACAAGGAAGAACACTACAAAATGATAAAGAGATCAATCCAGGAAGAAGATATCGCAATTATAAATACACATGCATCCAACATAGAAGCACCTAAATACATAAGACAAATACAAACAACCATAAGGGGAAATTGACAGCAAAAAAAAATAATACTAGCGGATTTTAACACGAGACTTGTATGGGGTGTCCACCTCAGTGGACAGATCATCCACACAGATAATTAATATAGAAACATGGGCCTTAAATCACACATTAGACTAGATGGACCTTATTGATATCTTTAGCATACTGCATCCCCAAACAGCAGAATGAATTTTTTTTCCTCAAGTGCACATGAAAGACTCTTTGGAATGGATCACCTCCTGCATCACAAATCAAACCTTGGTAAGTTTAAGAAAATTGAAATCCTAGCAAACATCTTTTCCGATCACAATGCTATGTGATTAGGAATCATTTATAGGAAAAATCTGTAAAAATCACAAACACATGGAGAAATCAAACAGGTCACTGAATAAATCAAAGTGGAAATTTAAAAATACCTAAAAACAAATGGCAATGAAAAAATGACAACCCAAAACCTACATGATGCGCTAAAAGCAATGCTAAGAGGGAATTTTACAGCAATACAAGAAGCCTACCTGAAGAAATGAAAAGAACATTAAAAAAAAAAACCTAATCTAACACCTGGAGAACCTAGAAAAAGAAGAAAAACAGCCACAAAACCTCCAAAGTTAGCAGAAGGAAAGAAATTATAAAGATCACAGCAGAAATAAGTGAAAAACAAATGAAGGAAACACTAGCAAAGATCAATAAACAATAAGAAAAGTCTTGGAGAAGATGAACAAAATTGAGAAATCATTAACCAGACTCATCACGAAAAATAGAAGACTCAAATCAATTAGAAATGAAGAAGGAGAAGTTACAACAGACAACACGGAAGTAGAAATGATCATAAAGACAATTAGAAACAACCATATGCCAATAAGATGGACAACATGGAACAAATGGACAAATATTTAGAAAAGTACAATCTTCTGAGTCTGAACCAGGAAGAACTAGAAAATAGGAATAAATCAATCACAAGCACTAACACCAATCACAAGCTCTAACTATGAACAGATCAATCACAAGCACTAGTAACTGTGAGCAAAAGTCTCCAACAAACAAAAGCCCAGGACTTCACAGATGAATACTCTCAAACGGTGGAGGTGTGACAATACCTATCTTGATCAAACACTTCCAGAAACATGAAGGGAGGAACATCCCCAGCTCACTCTGTGAGGCCGCCATCACCATGAACCAAAATGAAGCAGAAATGTCACACAAAGAAGAAAATTGCAGGCTAATATCACTGATGAACATAAACGCAAAAATCCTGAAGAAAATGCTACCAAAAAAAAAAACCTCATTAAAAGGATCGTACACCAAATACAAGTGGGGTTTATCCGAGGGTTTCAAAGATTCTTCACTATCTGCAAATCAATCAATGTGATACACTAGATTAACAAATTGAAAGGTAAAAACCATATGATAATCTCAATAGATGCAGAAAAAGATTTTGACAAAGCTTAACACCAGTTTATGAATTAAAAAATGCTTTGTAAATGGGTGTAGAAGAAAACTACCTAAACATAATAAAAGTCATATAGAAAAATCTCTCAGTAAACATTCTCAGTGGTGTCAAAATTTAAGCATTTCCTCTAAGATCAGGATCAAGACCATGGTGCCCACTCTCATTCCTATTATTCAATATAGTTTTGTAACTCATAGGCATAGCAATCAGAGAAGAAAAAGAAAAATAGAGCCTATTGGAAAAGAAGATGTACATCTCTCACTGATTGCAGATGAGCTGTTTCTATTCACAGAAAACCCTAAAGATAGAACCAGAATATTACTAGAGCTAATCAGTGAATTTAGTAAAGCACAGTATACAAAATTAATACACAGAAATCCTTTGCATTCCTATAGTACAACAGGAAAAATCAGAAAGAGAAACTAAGGAAACAGTGCCATTCCCCACTGCAACAAAAAGAATAACATAGCTAGGATTAAATCTACCTAAACAGACAAAAACACGTGTATGCAGAAAGATGGGCTGTATGATGAAAGATATCAAAGATGAAACACACAGATAGAAAGACATGCCATGTTCTTGAATTGGAAGAGATCAATTATTGTGAAAATGACTATACTACCCAAAGCAATCTGCAGATTCAATTCATCCCTATCAAACAATCAATGACATTTTTAAAAGAACTAGTACTAATAATTTTGCAATTTATATGGGGGAAAAAAGACCCAGAATGGCCAAAGCAATCTTGGAAAGAAATGTGGAGCTGGAGGAATCAACCTTTCTGACTTCAGACTATACTACCAAGCTAGAGTCATCAAGACACTAAGGTACAGGCACAAAAACAGCAACATAGAGCAATGGACCAAGATACAAAGCGAGGGATAAACCCACACTCCTATAGGCACCTTTTCTTAGACAGGGGAGCAAGAATGTACAATGGAGAAAGGACAGAAAAGAGAGCCTCTTCAATAACTGGTGCTGGAAAGCGGGACAAATACATGTAGAAGAATGAAATTAGAACACTTCTTAACACTATACACAAAAATAAATTCAAATGGATTAAAGACAAAATGTAAGGCCAGACACTATAAAATTCTTAGAGGAAAACATAGGCAGGACACTCTGTGACATTTATCACAGCAAGATCCCCCTTGACCACCTCCTAGAGAGACCGAAATAAAAACAAAAATAAGTATGGCATCTAGAGAAACTTCCAAGTATTTAAACAGCAAAGAAAACTATAAACAAGATGAAAAGACAACTCTCCGAATGGGAGAAAATAATTGTAAATGAAGCAACTGACAAAGGATTATCTGCAAAATACACAAGTAGATCATACAGCCTAATATCAGGGAAAAAAATGACCAATTAAAAAATGTTCAAGAAGACTTGAACACATTTCTCCAAAGGAGACATTAATAAGGCCACCAAACACAAGAAAAGATGCTCCACATCACTCATTAGTAAGGAAATGCAAATCAAAATTCCATAAGGTATCACCTCACACCAGTCAGAATGACCATCATCAACAATTCTACAAATAAGAAATGCTGGACAGGACATGGAAAAAAGTGAACCCTCTTGCACTGTCGGTGGACACGTAAATGGATACAGCCACTATGGAGAAGAGAACGTAGGTTTCTTAAAAAAAACTAGGAATAAAACTATCATATGACCCAACAGTCCCCTACTGGCCATATACCCTGAGAAAAACCATAACTCTAAAAAGACACATGTACCCCAATGACCATTGAAGCACTATTCAACATAGCAAGGGCATGGAAGCAACCCAATGTCCATCAATGGAACAGTGGGTAAAGATGTTGTGGAACACATACACAATGGAATATTACTCCACCATGAAAAGGAACAAATTTGAATCATCTTAACTGAGATGGATAAACCTAGAACCTGTGATAGAGTGAA